CCACTTCAACCATCCAACTTGAATTCTGCTGATAATGTCCCTATCTATTTCACCATCACTCTGACCAATACATCCAAGATATATAAAATGTGTACTCTTATTAATGACTTGATCGCCCAAAGTCACAATCCCCTAACTAGGTCTATTACTACTAAAATTTCGTATCCTATCTTTTTGAACACTGCCGTTGTCATATCCCAAGTCCCGGATGAGAAAAGTGGAGATTGCATTAGGTAGTCGACAGGCAGTGTAAAACTTGTTGAATAATAATGACAGGATATTGTACAAGATAAAATAAAATAATTGATTCATGAGCGAGATAATCTAAAAAGCAAGAAAACTCTTTCCTTCTTCTCCACCTCACCTTGATAGTCTTTCATCTTCTCTTCTCAATCATCTCCTTCTCTCCATTTATCAGGTATTTCCTTTACACCGGATTCATCCCTAGTCAACAGTCAAGACATTCAATGTCAGCCACAATCTTCACCTTCCACATCCTGCTCGTCACCAATTTGATTGTCCATTTAATAGGATCCATATTTCAATCTAACTCGTGAATTAATCCAAGTTCATATGCAGAAGATAATTCATTTGGCTACTTTTTATCTCGTTTTACATATAAAAGAATGGAGTTCACCATAGACCCATCTTCCACTTTAGAAACACTTTTCCGAAAACGCAAGTTTTTTAAGCATAAGGGGCCATCTAATGCTCTACTTTACAATAACCCAATGCATATAATCATCTGAAAAGCTACGTAAAGCTTCAATTCAAATTTCTAAAGTATATATGTCCATCAACTAAATAATTAGATCAGCTCTCTAGTCAATTTCTATGTAGGAAAATATAAGCAATCAATTTAGCCACAACAAATAGCAAAATATGCATGATGAAAATCAAATAAGCTTACAAGTCTGCATATCAAAAGTACATATTTTTTTTACTTTATCAATATAAAAAGTATATATATGTGGATTTTCAAGCAAAGTATAAACCAGAAGTAAGGGGTTGCTGGAATAAAGTTCACAAGAAGACATTCTTCAAGAAAAGATCAAAGTCACATGATTCTAGTAAAGCTCTTGACCTCTCAAATCTTAGCTGGCTCTTCATTCTCTGACTGGGGTTTCCACTGTGAGGGAGTGAGGGCTTTCTTGATGGAGAGTGCGTGGATTTGCGGCATCTGCTCCGCCAGCGCCGCGTTGACTAAACGGTGACGCTCCAGAAGCCTCTTCCCCTCAAACTTCTCCGAGACCACCTCCACATCGAAGCTCGCTCCACATCTAAAAAAAATTCAGAATTGAAAGATTTATAAATTCAGAAGAAAAGTTTCGATTCAGGAAAAAAGGAAGGTGGAAACTACAAGAAGAAGTATATTTACCCCCCGGATGTATCGATCACTTGCTGAAATGAAAGAAAACCGGAAGAGAAAAAAAAAGGAACAAGGTCAGGGATTTCAGCGGCGAAATTAAAACTGAAAGTGAAACAATGTGTAATTGATCATTAATCTTACAAGATGAGAAGGGCTGAGAGAGGAAGTGAGGGCGGCTACAACCTCTTCTTTCGTCACAACCATCTCTCTCTCTCTCTCTTTCTCTCTCTCTCTGTGCGCCCGCTTAAGAAGAACGCAGAAGCCAAATGAGACAAGC